ATTCTGAGCTGCTCGGCTAAACTCGATGTCCAACAATCATTTAGTCCGGGAAGGTCGTTATAACTGGTTTTTATGAGGGTAGCGTTTTTATAGTGGCTCCATTCTTTAGGGACGGACAGTTATTTCAGAATCATTCCCTTCGTTACCTCCTCGATGCATACCTTTTCATTGATTTTTTTCTTTTTGTATTTAAGAGAGAGGGGGAGATCTTCCCTTCTTCTATGAAAATGTGGCACTTACGCCCGTTGCCAATTTACGGTGCTTTCTTTGATCTCCATTGTGATTGTAATTGCGTTTGTTTAAACGGACACCTTTTAGTAGCAGTAGAGCTCCTTGTGAAAGAGTTCGTCCAGGGAAGCACTCTGCCACCTCACCTATTTCTGCCGCCCCAAGCAATAATGTGAGCATTAATCACTGCGTTCCGGTTTTGGAGGGTAAGAGTGCTAGTGAAAATACAGGCACTTGGGGACTTGTCAACTTATGTCTCAGGGTGACGGGCGCGGTGGCAGTGCCCCTCAGATCTTTGCGATTTAAGCTTTGAGTGGCACTACAACTGTAATGGACAGGCGTGTCGCTAACCATTAGGCACGGCTTGTTCGTCCCGTTACTCAGTGTCATAAAAAAAACGTTAATGTTAAATAAAAACATGAAAAAGGGTCGTTTGACCACTCTCCGGTATCTGTGTTACTGACCAAGCGTCGAGAGACAAGCAGGTGACCAGACTCGCCTTGTCTGACAAGAACTACTGCACCGCGTGACTGTAAACGAGTATTAATTAAATGAAGATCGCCACCATTACTCAAGCACAGTTACAAATCTCGGCCAAAACAATAAAATGGCACTTGTGAAGTATGCGAAAAAACAAAGGATAACCCGAAATCATCCATCACCCCTTAATTTATACTCTTGGTTTTCTTTTTTATAATATCAAGTGACGGGACGAACAGGTCGTGCGCCTAATTGTAAGTTACACGCCTGTCCAAAACAATTGTAGTGGCATTCCGAGCTTTCAATTTTCTGAAACATAAATTGACTAATCTCATGTGCCTGTATTTTCAGCATCGTCTAGGGAACTACTGCCAACTTACGTATCTCTGCCGCCAAGCAAGAGTGCTGGTGAAATTACAAGCACATGGGATTTGTCAACTTATATCTTAGAGTGACGGGCGCAGTGGCAGTGCCCCTCAGATCTTTGCGATGTAAAGAACTGAGTAGTAATTGTTACCACCAGGTGCGCGATTTGTTCATCCCATAAAAGTCTCATAAAAGATCTCTTTCACAAGGAGTTCTACTGCTTCAGCGATACAAACTTAAAGGCATGACGTAGACAAAGCCTGTTTTGGTACAACGGCTTTCACAAAAGGAAATTGTAGGCGATTGAACGGGAGTAGTTAAACGAACGTATCCGCAACGTTGTAATGTCAATCGCGTCACAGGTCGCCGGCATGTCGTCACGGTGACAAACTGTCGGCCGCTCGGCAGCCGAGCTCCCGCCCTGCTACGCCCGACGCTGACTGAATCATTTATTACAGCGCCGCAACCACGTGATACTATCCTACGCAACCTAAACTACCAGTACACATACAGAATCGCCGAATAATACGTTGCATTCACGGAAGAAAAAACAATGGAAGTGCCTTAGGCCTCGGTTACTATGAGAACCGATGTCGCCAAAACACACACATTTTTAACTTTGAAACACTACAAAATGTTGGTATTGGTTGATCGTAGCTTCAAATTTAAAAAGAAATAACGAATTCGGGATTGTTAATATAATTTAAACTTTAACCTGTTGGGTATATCGTTGAAAGTTCAATACCATCAATACCTATTATTGCAAGTACGACATTTTGATGTTATATTGAATGAATTGAATTTAATCAATGTACCGCCATCTAGCTGTTAATTGCTGAACTCTCTATTAAATGAGTTCTCCAATAAAGAAGCGACCATATAGCAAGGGTACTTAGTAAGTAAGGGTTTACTTTTGTTTCTTGTAACAAAAAAAAATATTTCAATAAACAAAAAATTTAAAATTTATAAAAATAACACTTTCCGATGATATGGAATACCACCACGGTTAATATTTTTGGCGCGGCATCATTTTTGCATAAGAAGGCATTTTTTCTAGGATTTAGGAGTATTTGCACGAAAGAATGGCACATCCATACCATACAAAGCGTAAATGGCGGACAGAGCTCAAATAGGTCTTTCGAGACCTATATATAGTTGGCACGCGTCTGACGCTAACTAACCACTTCTACTGTATTTATTGTTCTGTGGTTTCATTCTACGCCTCCAAGGGCCTCGCTTCTACGCAATTGTTTCGTGTTATATTTTCTTTACCATATTTCTCAACGTCTCTTCATAGTGACACGCAATTTTTTCTTTACAAATTCGACGCGCAACATATACCGTTTTTTAAAGACTTTAATCTGTGCGTTGAACTGTGTTTTTATTATGAAACTTTCGATATTGAATCGATTCATATGTCGCAAGCCGTGCGCGACGAAGCCGAACACCAAAACATGGGTATTGTGCGTGCATGAACGTGGGACAGGTATACAAATTGACCCGAATTAGCTATTATGCAAATGTAATACCGGGGGCGCGAGCAGAAAAAAATATCGGATATCTCTTCAAGGCTCACCTGAAAAATTGAAGATTCCGCAAAGAAGCTCTCGAGCGCGAGTGGCGACCGCGTATCAAATAACTTATCCGCTTTTGTTATGGTAATGCCTCCCTAAAATTATCTGTTCAGCATAATACAATCACGAAAGAAATAAAAAAATGCAAAGATGCTTTATCTTCGGATTTCTTCTAGAATCTATGCACGTTGGATACACAGATGAGACTAACACAGATGTGTAGTATGGGTAAACAGGCGGTGTTTTAAACACTACGTACAATATATTTTTTTATAATACCAAGTGACAGGGCGAACAAGTCGTACACCTGGTGGTAAGCGACACGCTCTTCCATAACAGTTGCAGTGTCACTTGCTTTAAATTGCAAAGATTTTAGGGTCACTAGCACTGCGCCCGTCACCTTGAGACATAAGTTGACAAGTGCCAAGTGCCTGTAACTTCAATGCTCATATTACTGTTTGGCGGCAGAAATAGGTAAGGTGAGTACTTCCCTGGAGCGTATAATTACAATTAGTCCATTTTTGGATTAGTGCAATTGATCGTTGATGAATATTCGGAAGGTTTATAAAACCTCACCAAAATAGACATTTACCGAAAACCACACCCAATAAAGAAATCTGATGGAAATTAGATGAAATTTCCGGGACAGTGGGTCGCGCCTCTCTGGTCTCGTAACCCTTTGAGCGCGGAATGTTCGCTGCAAAAACTACGATCAAACGGAACCTATAGGGTACAGAAATATCTCTATTTAATATTTGATCAAGCGTGCTCAAATATTTTATTTACGGCCGATTGAAACGTAATCAAAGAAATATTCACATTGCAATTCGTGAACGCGTTCGAAATATATTGTATAATAGGCTATCCGTTGAACAGGGAGGTTTATAACCTAAAAGTGTGCTTCGAGAGATCTTTGAAGTTATCTTCTCAACACACACGAGAAAAGTTTTGAAAGTTGAGTAAGTTCAACTGCATGAGAACTGCAGGAGTCGGTGCCAAAACAAAGTTATATCTCAGAGTATCAAATAATATTTGCTCCGCGTGTCGTGTTAGAAGCAAATTACGTAATCAAAAGCCAAGGTTGGTTCGGGATAATTTCCCAAATCCATTGTTCTTTGGAAGTTGACGCGACTTCGGTTTCAACAAATTAACGTCTCGTGTTTTAGATCCGAGGTTGTCACGATTAGCGCCGTGTCGTTACAAATACCAGATTATGATGTCCAAGGTCACAATAATTCTTTTAAACTTAAATATTTTTCTAATCTCTTACAAAATTTTTCGAGACTCAATTATTATTTGACATTTTCTAGACTCGAGACTGATGTTTCTAGTCTCGGAAATATCGGTACTTTTAATACTTAAGTCACTTAATTACCACAGCAACGGTATTGACTCTGGGGCACTTCCCAGAACACCAATTTAGAAAAGTTAATTTCCGAAATTGGTCCTACCGAAAAATGAACCGGGGATCTCCGCATTCGGCGCCATCAATGTAAACCGTTAGGCTACCAAGGTCGTCAATTAGTATTAATAAAATCTACTAAAGCAACAGTATTTTTTTATTCTGGTCACATGGACATTGCAACGCAGTAAAGCGGAACTTAGTATAATCTGTAGAAATTTAAGAGCGATAGTAATGAACTTTCTATCTGTAGTGCTACCACGACTGGGAGAGACTTGCGTGAGAGCGACATAAAGCACGAGATACTGCCATTCTCGCATAGGCGTCGTCCTAATTGAACGCATTTATTTGATCGTCGCAAATTCGCGTGAGTTTTGTTCGTGCGAAGTTGCTGCGATATAACATACAGATCTCGAATAGGTGTCCCAATTGCCGTTCGCACGATAATCGCGCATGTTTAAATCTATTCGCGCGAACTTGGTTCACAAAGGCACATAAACGCGGCCGTACACATGATCGCACGAATATGGTCTCGCGCGACTATCTATTAGTACACTCGTTTTAAGCGCGTATCGCGTCGTCAATTCGCGCTTTAAGTCACTCTCGCGAAAGTCGCGCCCTGTCGTGCTAGCCTTACTGGAACTACATTCACGAGCAAGAAGCTCTTTAAACGCCCTTAGTTTCCTAGTTGCGCAATATAAAAATGAAAAAACTTTCATAATTGAAAGATAACGTGAGTTAATAAAGAATCTGAAAGCGAGACAGGAAGCCCTTGTCAGTGTAAACAAATTCCTAGACAAAATCAAAGATTGATCCTATTTTATACAGACAGCAGTTCCAATTAGCTGCCTTTAGTTGGCTTTTACAATTGCCTTGTACAATTAATTGACTTTAATACAATAGACCCAGCATTTTAACGATATTGATAATTATAACAAAATAGTACTCACAAGGTGCAGGGCTGGGTGGTTCATGACAGATGCCTATGGACTTGCTGGGATCTTCGAGCAGTACTTGCGCGAGGTCGTAGTCACCGAGTTTCTGGTTGATCTGCTGCGTCACTCGGTCTTTGTTGCCAGTCACCTGCAGTACAAACATGAAATTCAAGTCAACTGTTAAACAAGAAAAACGGTAGTGATCAATGTGCCAGACAATATACCCGTACCTGTTTCTGCCCCGAAGCAGTAATGTCCGTATTAGTGTGTTCCGGTTTTGAAGGATAAGGGTATTGGTGAATTACAGGCACATGGGACTTGTCAAATATCAAGTGACGGAACGAACAAGTTGTGCGCGTGATGATAAGCAACACGCCTGTCCATAACAGTTGCAGTGCCACTCAGAGCACAAGACCTGAGGGCACTGCCACTGCGACCGTCACCCTGAATCATAAGTTGACTAGTCCCATGTGCCTGTAATTTCACCAGCACCCTTACCGTTCAAAACCGGAACACAGTAATGCTGACATTACTGCTTGGCGGCAGAAATAGGTAAGGTAGCAGTACTTCCTTGGATGAACTCTTCCACAAGGATCTTTACTGCTATTAAGAACTCCGCGTAGTGTTGGCACACGTGCCTACTGCATTTATTCTATTGCGTTTTATTTTATCAAATGATATAAAAGAAGCGTCCTCTTTTTATCCAGACTAGATGAGAAAAATCTCAACACTAGAAGACAGCAAAGTTGGCAAGCCCCACAGCGAAATATATCGGCAGGTGTTCCAGAAAACGAACCACGCCTATGCTCTCACTACAAACGTCACTAATGCATGCTATTACTCACGCACGTGTTGTTTTATACACAATTATTATTATATTCTACTACGGAGAATTAAAGGTACAATTCTAATGTTGCTAAGATCAGTTTTGTAAAAGTTGTTTTACATTCCAGGGGGAATATGAACTCTTATTTCCACGCAGTTTACGCCGTAAACTGTCTTGTAATTTCGTTTTACATACGGGTAATACCAGCCAGTCAGCGAACTCGTGACACTAGGCTGTCTTCTGCCCGAAGTTTGGCTGGCAATATCGTACATATCGTTAAAACGTTATTTTGACATTTTCGCTTGGGTGTCGCTTACCACCAGGCGCAAAGCTTGTCCGTCGCTTGATATCATGAAAAAAGACTCGAATTGGCGTTAAAAAACGAACATTATAAGAGTTGTTACAAACGAATAATGAAATAATATAAACTGATAATGAAAGGTGTATAATAAGGAAACATCAAAATCCTAAAATATGTAAAGTTACTATTTATTATCCGGCTTAAAAAAAAGGAGGAGGTTCTCAAGTCGATTGTATTTTTTGTGTGTAAAATTAAGGTAGTCAAACTAAAGATTTTTATAACTTCTTCTTATCACATCGATAGCATACGCTATATTATTGTGACAGTACACAGCCACGCCGACCGCGTCACTAGAAGCTGTCATTAAATCCTCAAGCGTTCAGGTGTGGCATGGAAGTGAGATAAGCCTAGTGTTGTAACTTGAATAAAAACCAAATGTTTTTTTCACATTTTTGAAAAAAAACACGGCGCCCTGGTTTTTTCTAAATTTTTCTTTTTCAGAAAAAGTAAAATGGAAGAACTGAAATAAAATAAGACACTACCTTTTATTTTAAGAATATATATATGTGAATATATGTATTTATAATACAATTTATTAAAATCAATTACCGTAATAATTATAACAAAAATTTAATCTTCATTTGTGGGGATAAGGAATATGTGCGATGTGGAAAAAATATTGATATCGCTCTTAGATAAATAAATAAGCAGTGTTTTTATCTGTAATAATTAAAGTAGCGGAGCAACAGCAATCTCGATAGATAGATCGCGATAGATTTAAAAAAAAGGTAAAATGTTAGAATCCCTGCATTTTCCCCATAAAATCCCCAATCGAGTTGAAATTCCCCTGCAATTTGGGGAATTCGCTACAAATTGACAACAGTGTGAGTGTTGCCCATTTATTTTGAGCAATTTATGTATGAAGAATAACATTAACAACAAAAGAGGAAATGTAGTAAAAAAAATACTATTGTTACATTGTCCTATTTTTATTTTCATACTTTTAGAAAAAAGACGTACTCCAGAAAAAAACGGTTGCTTTTCATGTTTTTTCAATGTCTTTTTTTTCACCTTAGAAAAAAGACTGTTTTTTAACAACACTAGATGGGCCAATGTTTGATTCGCACCGCACCAACAATCCAGTGGAACTCTACTCTCGTTCTCGTCCGAAGACAATGTTAAGTATGAAGTTTCATTCGCATTATACGTCTGTTAATTAGGTCGAGTATTGCTTATTCGACAGTAATTGTTTCGGACACAGAACGGGAGTGAGCCCCAGGTTAGTGCCATCCGATAATCCCCACCTGAACAAATTGCCCTTACTCCAACCAACCCGGGGCCGAAGCCTATTTAAAGACTTATAACTATAGTTTAGAATAGAGGGTTAGCATTAAGATTAGATATAACTGGTTGATGACTTATACTATATTCATATTCATATGCTACTACCTCAATTGGCTGTGATCATGGGATCTGCATAGAGCCGGAAATGTTGGTTTGTTTGAAAAATTTACTCGTAGATCCGAAAACATTGTTTCATTTCAAATGTGTAGCAATAGCCACAACCTAAAATGATATCTAATGTTATTCATACAAACAAAAGAGACTTAAGGCTAGGTATTTCAACGCGAGCCTAGATTTTAGGTAAGGTGTGTGCGACTGCCCAGTCGCACCTCGCGTCCCGCAATCTGCGCGCTCAAAATAAAATAAAAACAAAAAAATTTGATACAGATCCGACGTCGACAAGCACCCAATGGCGACTAACGGGGCAGCGGGCGCTTAAAACCGTTGGGAAATTTGCAATTTTCGGGAAAAATAAAAAACTAATAAGGCTTCACTTGAAAACTAATTTAGCAGGTTCTTAAAGAAATATATCCATATAAAATTGTGTTCAAAGTTAGATGTTTTATTCTTAAACAATTCGTTTTTTACTTTTTTTTAATACAGTAACTCAAAACGTGGTATTTTTCGTACCACAAATCGTGTCGAAAGTTGGATTTTTCGCACTGGTGCTTTTTACTTTTTAACCGACTTCAAAAAAGGAAGAGGTTCTCAATTCGACTGATGTTTTTCTTTATATGTATGTTACGCGATAACTCCGGTATTTATGAACAGATTCTTTTTTGTTGGAAAGAGGGTACCTTCATAGTGGTCCCATTTAATTTTGAAGAAAACCATCCAAGGGTGGCTATTCAAGCATGAAGATTCATTTTTATTAATAGCGCCTACTTTTTATTATAAAGAGCAATTACTTTAATGGTTGATTTTACTATTCTCCAATTCAAGGCGTTTTTCTCTCTCAATATACTTTGAGTAGTGAGAACCGATTTTTATTATCTCCTGTGTCAAGTCTCGTACAGTGGCGAACTAGGGGCTGAATCCGGTTTTGCGCACTTTCCGGTAACCGATTTCAATAAAACTTGGTTATTTTATGTATTTCCACGTACTTTTGAGGTCGGTTTTTTAAGTACTCTGTACTGAGGTTATCCATTTTTTTATATTTACTGTTGTTACAAGTCTTAAACATAGAACTAAAGAGATTGTATATTTATTTAATATTTATGTGCTGTGTGATGTAAGTCATTCGTCATTAAAACTTATATTTACTTACAAACATCTTATTTGTTTAAATTGCATAGGTATTTTATAAAACAACGTGTTACATTTTAAAATTCCAAAATATTTTCCATAAAGATGGCTGATTGAGTATTAACAATGACCGGAGGTGAGAATTACGTGAGATCGCTACGCGTCGCGCCACTAAAATATACTGTTTTATTTTACTTTCAATGTAGTTTTTTCGCAAATGTATTAAAAAACGTCATTTGATACACGTGCGGATTTGTCATTTTCACTTGTCTCAAGTCTTGACCCTCGCCTCTGGGTTGGGCCAAGAAGTCTCGAGACTCGTGAAGGATGACTAACTTTCCGCACTTGCATCCAAAACAACTATTAATTTACCCTGTTTTCAAGATTTTATATGATCAGATAAAGTACATCCTATCGTGTAACACATTAGCACATTTTTTAGACAATATGCTTAGATGTAAGGTCAGGTGGGGTAAGAGGAACATATTTTATTTCGAGACAAATGTTATGAGCTCTAGGAGGAATAAGTAATGTCTTATACGAATTTCGAAATGCTCTAATCTTGCCCTGGTTTATCAGCTTTCCATGTTTTAACAATCATTACGCTAAAATTAATACTTAAGATGTATCGGACAAAAACGTTCAGGTTGTGCTAACGTTTCTCTTCCCCCGGGGATAACGGGGAAAACGGGGTAAGAGGAACTGTTATCGTATTTTATATAAATGCAATGTATATTTAAATATATCCGTAGTTAATTCCTAAGTAAAACTATTTCAATCGTATTTAATCTTAAAATCATTGAAATAACGCATACCTATAAAAAAAGGTGAAAAATTAATTTTGGGGCAAGAGGAACATGCAGGTTAACGTTAGGGGTGACAAATTAAAAAAAAGTGAATCTGTTTATATTATATATATTATTATAGTTTTTTTGGTATGTACAAAGTATAATCAAGGCACATTTTGAACCACTCGTTTACAAATCAACACATTAAGTAAATTAAGTACTTTTTAAACATCGTCATAATAGAAAAACAACGTTTGGTCCAAAAATTGTATAAATTAATTTTTCTTTCTAACAAAATTTATTCTTCTCGTAGTCACCAAAACCACTCTACTTTGAAAACCGTTCCACTAAATCAATTGAAACTTGGTGTAGAAGTAGTGTGATCACGTAGTTAATGTGCAATGAGCGTACATTTTAGTGTTTGTTCTTAGATTACGTCATTATTTTAGAGCTTATGTAATTTTTTTTAGTTTTCCACTAAAATATAAAATTTTGTAAAAATTTCTGACGGAAAAAATCTACTACCAGAGTTTGCTGGCCTTAAAAACTATCTTAAGATGTGTGATTGTTTACACATAAAATTATAGTGGTGTAATTATTGTAACATCATCAGAAATTAACATCACGTGGACGAAGTCACTAAA